ACTGAGACTGGTAGGCAGATTCTGAGGTTGCCCAGGACCTCAGGCCTTGGGGCAGGCACCCTGGATGAGCCCCCTATGCTGAGTGTGCTGGGACCAGGGAACAGGATGGGAGAGCTGCTCCCTTCATTAGGTTATACCCTGTGGCAAAGGTGATGGGATGGTCCCTCTCCTGATGGCATTCCCTGATGGCATCAGATTCTCCTGTCGGCCTTGAAGCAAGCCACCAGCCGTGGAATCTACAGCTGCAAGAGAACGCATTCTGCCAAGAACCAGTGTGAGCCTGGAAGAGGACCCAAGCCACAGATGAGATCCCGGCCCTGGCTAACACCTTGACTGCAGCCACGTGGACACAGCTCAACCCAGCAGAGGACACAGCTCAACCACGTCCGGGTTACTGGCCCACAGGAGCTGTGAGGGAATAACCGTGTATCGTTCTGGACCACTGAGTTTGGAGTAGCTTGTTACACAGCAGCAGACAGCTGATACAGCGGCCTGCTGCACAGAGCCTGGATGCCGCAAATGCTCGACACCTCTTGCCAGGACTTAAATGGACAGACTCTCAACAGTCACAGTCAAGTCTTGACGGCTAAGAAACCATCAAGAAAGGCAGAGAGAAACCTCAAAGGGTGGACAGGCCTCGAATAAGAGGTTGTGAATAAAGATTGGGAAGTGTGATCTGAAGAGCAAGGACACGCCAACCACCACCCCTTCCTGACGCTGTCGGGGAGGGAGAAAAGCTTATATGGAGAGCGGGGTCCTCTGGGGATTTCCACGTCAAGACCGCAAGGAGGAGAGGGTAGAGGGAAAGGCAGAGGTGTAAGGGAGTTCACAGTTTACCACTGAAACCAGATAAAACAGAGAAGACAAAGTCCTGCTGCTTTGGCCCAAACGTTTGCTTGGGCAAGTAAGAAAAGAAATTAAAAGAACGCTAATGATTATTTTCACGCGCTTGACTTGAAATACTGGATTAAAACCCCCCCCCCCAAAAACAAAACAGCAGGGCTTCCCTGGTGGCGCAGTGGTTGAGGGTCCGCCTGCCGATGCAGGGGACGCGGGTTCGTGCCCTGGTCCGGGGAGATCCCACAGGCCGCGGAGCGGCTGGGCCCGTGAGCCATGGCCGCTGAACCTGCACGTCCGGAGCCTGTGCTCTGCAACGGGAGAGGCCACAACAGTGAGAGGCCCACTTACCGCAAAAAAAAAAACCCAAAAAAACAAAAAAAAAAGCAAAACATTCACTCCTGATCCACACTCTGGAAACAACACAACCATATTCCCTTCCCAGGGCCCTGCCTGGCACACAACCACTTACGCCTCATGCCAGACTGAGGCGACTCCCAGGACGGTGAGGGAGCCAGGAGCTGCTGCCAGCAGGGCATAAGCTCACCAATTCCCACAGTCTGAACAGCGCAGCTTCCCAAAGGGGATCGCTGGAGGCCGGCAGCCATCTGCACACGCAGAGAGCAGGACAGAGGGAGCGAGAGCTGGGTCTACGGCTCTGCGTCACTCAGCTTCCCTCTGGACAGGCGATAAGCAGGTCTCGAGATGTCCGACGGAAGGCCTTCGGAGAAACCATCCGGATAACAATAAAGATTCTGCAGAAGGTGCGTTCCTGTTTACATCTTACAGGGATGTCACTGGGTAAAGGATGCAGGCTGGTCCAAGTCACAGGACAGCCACGGGGGTGGCCCTTCTCAGCCCCACACAGTGGACGCGGCACCTTCTGGGGGTCAGAGCCTCTACTTCTGGGCTGTGAACCTAACACTGATAGGAACACCATCCTCTGAAGACCAAACATAGCCACTGTCCTCCACGCCCATTGTGGACCTGGCTCTGTGCAAGGAGCCCCACACAAAGTATTCGCCAACCCTGAAAGGTCATAGCTTTATCCATTTTACAGATGGAAGAACAGAGACCCACAGAGGCACAGTAACTCCCAGATGCATGCTGGCACCTCTACTAGTGCAGAAGCCAGGCTCCGAGCCTAGATCTGCCTGACTCCAAAGCCCACGTCTTTCCTCGACACATCTTTCTTACACATGAATGCAATTCGCTGCAGAATCAAAACAAAGTTAATATGTTTAAACTGCTGAAGTGCTACGTGCAGGCAGAGAACTAAGACCCTGTCACTAAGATGTCACCAACAGTTAGGGACGAGACAAAAACACAGGTACCTGCCAGGGAAGGCAGGTATGGTACCCAGCACAGAGAGAAACCAAGAGCCCCCTGCCAAGGAGAGGGAAGCCACAGAGGTTTGGGATGGGAGCATGCTGAGCTGGCCATGAGGACTGTGGCCAACTGGAAAGGGAACTGGCTTAGAGAAAGAGCCTGGTCAGGGAGCAGGGTTAGGACTGAAAAATGGCACATTCATTTGATGAAAGGCCAGTGACAAGGGTGAAGGAGGAAAAGAGCGTGGCGACCAGGGGGAATAAGCACGGGCGTCCCTCTGACAGTGGGGATGATAAACTGACGCAGAGCAATGGGTTGATGGGTGGCCCCTCAGTGGATCAGGGGAGGTACAAGGACCTGACTGATGGTGCCACCAGGGGGGGACAGGGGAGGAAAAGGGCAGGTGAGACAGAAGATCCAACCCACGGATTCAGCAATTTACTGGCTACACGTGGGTCTAAGATCACTTCTTGGAGGACCCGAAAGATGAAACTGTCAATTAAGGGTAGACAAAGGGGCAAGGAGAGAGGAATATCCTGCGGGCCTCCCCAGTTTCTCTCCCTCCCCAGCACCCTTCAGAAGCCAAATCAGGCCAGATTAACTTCAGGATGAATGTGAAGCAAAGAGAAATCTCTCCCCAACACTCCTCCCCAAGACGACCAACCAATGAGGGACCATTCCGCACATTTTTTTTTCTCTAGGAGAAGCTTAGAGAGCACAGGCCTGAAAATGCAAATCCACACGCAGATGCCAATGAGTTTCAGTCAAAGCTTACACCAGGACAGCAGGACTTCTCTTGTTTGGTTCGGAGGGTTAGAAACCAGGACGGTGTCCACTGCCTAAAACGGGGCGTGGACATCAAGGTGAAGGAAGAGGGGAGGAAAGGGGAGCCTGTGAGGATGGGCTCAGAGACCAGGTTCCCCCCCCAGCCCAGGTCTCCCAGAGCTCACGATGGCACTGGGGACCCACTGAGAGCAGCACAGAGGGACTCACGGTGGTCACCAGGGCGATCTGACTTCCTAGGAGGCACCATCACAAGTCAGCAGGGCTCTTGGGTTCTCGCCCTGCTGCGGCCTCTACCCACCTGGGCGAGCTCAGCAAGTTCCCACGCCTGTACGTGCAACACACCTGCTCAACTGAACCACGAAACTGGTCCCCGGAAAGGTGGTGTCCTATGACAAACTCAGGTGTTGCGGGCAACGGAGGCCCCGCTTCGAAGGCAACCTTGGGCCTCGGATTCCTCACCTGCGACCTGGGGGGAATACCCCACCTTCTGCGGTCGTTGTGAGGGTTAAATTTGGCAACGCATAGAGCTGCCATCACTCCCCTTTGTACTGTCCTCTCCAGCTCCAAGCTGTGAAGAGAAAGGGGCCTTTTATTGGCCAGCAGCACATACACATTTTCCTACCACTGCTATTTGTAACTTCTTTATTAATGGAAACAATTCAAAACGCTATGCTGTCAGTTCAGGAAGGGCAATTAAAAAACGAAAGACCATCTAAGTGAGAGGCTTAAATGCCATCTCTGGGGCAAGAGGCCTGGAAGAAAAGGATCGGCTTGAGGGGCAGAAGAGTCCAAGTCCATGTAAGGGCTGCTGAGGAGCTGGGGGCGCGGGGATGGGGCCCCACGAGGCGGGCAGCAGGCCCTCCGCCCCGCTCTCCCTCCCCCACAGTCTCCAGAGCAGACTCCACTCCTCCCCTCCCCCCCTCCCCCACTTGGGAATCCAGCTGATTCTAGCCTTCGAGACTCTCAGCAACCCACACCCACAGTCTGAAGAGCAAACGTGTCACTGCCGCTGTTCCTCCCTCCAGCATAACGTGAAAACGAGGACCCACAATTGTAATAAGACAACTATTTCTCTAAACATATGAGCTTTAGAAAAAATGGTGCCTCCCTTCCCTCAAACACACAGAAAACTTCAAAGACAGGCGAGGCAGAGCACTACCACTTCCGCGGGTGAGTTGAACCAGGATAGCCTGCTCTCGGTAATGAACGGCTGACCCCAGTTTCTGAACACGTATTTCCTTTTCCAATTAATTTTCCTCCTCCTCCCAAGATGAAACAGACATTAAAAAAAAAAAAAATCCTTTAAATTCTGTATAATTCCTTTTTTTTAATCTAGATGTTTACTTTTTTACACTCTAAGAGCCAGAGTTTAAGACGAGTTCTTTGGTGCAGAAGAATACATTGTATAATGAAGTGCTAAATCTTCGGTAAACCAACAAAACACCCAATTTTTGGCAAAGAAAAACAAACGTGCTTTTGGTGTCTACTTGTGAATACAGTAACCGAGGACTACAAGCTTGAGAAACTTCTCAAATGAGTATACGTAAAGATTTCGCACTGGCACACACGCACGCGCGCACGCACACACACACACACACACACACAACACCTTGAATTAATAAACTGAGGGGTTGAATGTCTGTTTCAAATCAGCAATGTACTTACCTCAAAAGGAATTACCTTCCCAAAAGCGGGATGGAAAAGTGAGAACATATTAAAATGATTATTTTCTTTAGAGCAGAAGTAAAATCTGGAAGGAAGTTTATAAAGATACTCATCATCACGATAAAGCCAGGGGGGTGGAATACCGGCAATTATTTTTTTTTTCTTCTCTAAATGTTACATAATGTTATTAAAGCTGTTTACAGTTAAACGTCTAGATCACTTGTAAAGCTCTCCTTCTGTCTATGTGTTCTGGATCGTTTTTAAAGCACTACTAAAAAGCTGGTGTAGTCTTTCTCGAGGGTCCTCCCTTTTGGAAAGGCACAGGAGTATTTCTTACCTGCTTGGAAGAAAGACTTCAGGGCGAAAACACTAAGTCTGCTTACCTGTGGTTTAACTTGCGATCTTCATCGCTGCCAGCCTCCAACTGCAGAGAAAGAAAGAGAATGTCACAGCCCAGATGCCGCTATCGACAAGCCTCAGACACAAGGCTCACATTTTCTGCTCTGGTGTCTGCAAAAGATACAGATGTCCAGGAAACCTGGTTCCTTCCAAAGAGCCGCACCCTCTCCTTACCAATCCTGCTCTGCTGCTCCCCTGAGTAATTTCCGCGGAGGAATTTTCAGGTTTCCTGAGGTTTCCCCACATGCCTTCCAAGGCATCGCAGATGGATGCCTGCTAACAGAGCGCTCCCGGCCGGCGCTGCTACTCCACACGCTTGTTCAGCCCTGAGCTCTCCATTTTCCAGGGCTGCTTTGGAGCATATCCTGTTTTTCTGTTTTAAGGGGAGGGGGCGATGTCTTAAGAGGCTGTTTCCTCCCTTCAAGCTAGGCAACAGCTGAGTGATCAACACCATTTTAAGCCACAACACACAAGTTAAAAAATAAATAAATAAAACCACCACCACCACCACCATTCCAAGCAAGTCTTTCTTAATGGAAGGTGGCCAGGATCAGGCTGTCTGTGGGTCATGAAGCTCTTGGTGGTTCTCAAAAAGGCTTAAAGTTTAATATAAAACTTTCTAGGCTATTGGTTTATTTATAGACATGAAAGAAAGGGACATTTAATATTTCCTAAATGTTACAAGGCCAAGAGGGTTAGAGGCTCCAAGAGTAACCACGATTTAAGCCCTGACTGCAATTTTTCTTCTCTTTTTTTTTTCTTTCAAGGAGAAAACTTAAATGAGAAGAAAACACACGTCCCAACAACTCTGCACTGCTGGCACTTGGCATGTTTTGTATGTTACACAGAGGAGCCCATTGAATGGGAAAGAGAGAAACCTGGAAAGCAGTGATGGCTGGAGGAGATGCAAGGCTGACTGAGGACAGAAACCAGACAGAAGCCAGCGGTGGTGGGAAAAGGGTTATGGAGATCACGTAGAGAGAGGTCTGGGCAGCAGGGGACACACGCCACAGGTGGCAGTTTCACCAAGAAATGAGTCCAGCAGAGGGTCCTGGTCCTACGCTGTCATTAGATCATGTATGTAACGCACTGGGCAGAGGCAGAGACCATCAGTTAGTTCTCACACTCCCTACCCAACAACAAAGGAGAAGTGGAGACTTCGGGGACAGCTCTGCTGACCACAGGGCCACCAACTTCGGTGCCGAAGTGAAACATACACAAAACAACTCACACAACCACAGGAACAAACTTAGAAGAGACTGCTGGGTCTAACCCAGTGGTTCTCAACTGGGGGTAACTGATCTCAGTAGGGGACGCCAGGCAAGGCTGGAGCCTTTTTTGGGAGGATGCTACTGGCATCTAGTGGGTAGAGGTCAGAGTGCTGCTACACTTCCTCCAACACACAGGACGGGCCCCTGCCACAGACGGCTCACCCAACATCGGCAATGCTGAGGCTGAGCAACCCTGATCCAACCCCGCCACCTCAAAGGGACTGGAGATCTGCCCATGAAAATTAGTCACCTTGAACATCTGTCAAAAACCACAACGTAAAAAAAAAAAAAAAAAAAAAAAATCACAACATTACAACCCATTCCTGAGAGCTGCTGCTTTACCTATTCTTGGGCTCTCTGCCTGTTCTCACAAAAGAATGAGACAAGATTAACAATAAAATGACATAAATGAGATAATTAAAGATTGTGGGGAGGAGCTTCCCTGGTAGCGCAGTGGTTGAGAGTCCGCCTGCCGATGCAGGGGACACAGGTTCGTGCCCAGGTCCGGGAAGATCCCACATGCCGCGGAGCTGCTGGGCCCGTGAGCCATGGCCGCTGAGCCTGCATGTCCGGAGCCTGTGCTCCGCAACGGGAGAGGCAACAACAGTGAGACGCCTGCGTACCACAAAAAAAAAAAAGACTGCGGGGGAAGGAACAAAACTTAAAAAGAGGGAAGCACTGCTTTGCAGGTCAGGATGTGACTTCCCTTAGTTCCCACGCCGTGCAGCAGGACCACGGGCTGGGGAAGGAAAGAAATGCCCTGAGTGTCTCTGACTCAACGAAGGATGCACATTTTGAGGAGTAAGGAAATGATGGGGGGCGGGGGGATACAGACTTCAAAATCATTTAATTCTCGCTCACTCTGAGATTCTCAGGATGAAAGGCAACACAAGGTCAGTTATTCCAGAGAAGAAAGCCAAAGAACACACGTTAGAGGGAAGCCAGCCCTTTCAGATGAGCTGAGGCCCAGAGAAGGGAAGTAACCTAAGGAAGGTCGGACCAGAGGCACAGCTGGTCTGGCCCACGTCTCCTGATCCTGTGCACACACGCCTACTCTCTCTGTTCCTTCTCGCATCTTTGTGCCTCGCCCAACATGGAAGAAAGCCTCACCTTCCAGGGAACATCCCAGCCTCTGCTGGCTCCCTGGGCAACTAATGCCGCTGATTTACTCAAGTTGAATAAAAGCTGGTTGAGTTTTCTTCTTATTTTGGAGGTCACTGGCATTTGGTGAAAATAAGGCTTTCTATAATCATTTAAAATGTGCCTAGTGGAAACAACCCCAATGTCCAACAAAATGTACATCCACACCATAGAATATTACTCGGCCATAAAAAAGGAATGAGGTCCTGACACGTGCTGCAACATGGATGAGCCTTGAAAACATGATGGTGAGTGAAATAAGCCTGACACAAAAGGCCACACAGTGTATGATTCCACTTACATGAAATGCCCAGAATAAGCAAATACATAGAGACAGAAAGTACATTAGTGGTTGCCTAGAGTTGGTTACAGCAGGGCAGGGGTGGTGGGAGGGAGGCTGTGGGTGATGGCTAAGGGGTGTGAGGTTTCTTTTGGGGGTGATGAAAATGTTCTGGAATTCATGGTTATGCTTGTACAACCTTGTGCGTAAAAACCACTGAATTGTACACTTTACAATGGTGGATTTATGGTATGTGAATTCTATCTCAGCTAAAAAATGAAATAATAAAATGAAAAAGTTTAAATGTGTCTAAAGCAGAAATAGATCAGGTGCCAAGCAACGCAGGGAATGTGGGGTTTAGAATCAGAGACCTAGGCTGAGAGGCTCTTTGTCTAACCTCTTCCTGGAGCTGAACTCTTCACTCATTTTTGAGAAGGGACCATGAGATTAAGTGCAGAAAAGTACTTTGTAAACTGCAAGACAGCAGTAGTAGAAATGATGTAGGGGAACAGATGTCTCTGTGGGGAGGCCAGAAGCTACTGCAGACTCCTCAGCTGCAGGCTACTGGCCACCGTGCAGAGCAGGGACTGTTAGAATCTTCTGTCTGTAGACAAGATAACTCATTAATGGCTTCTCCTTGAGAGAAGGGGGCTGTGAGGTTCAACCCTGCAGCCACTCTCAGAGTGCCAGTCCCAGCAAAACAGGCTGAAGAGCTTCCCCACCAGGAGCTGGTGGGACAGGCAGGGCTGTTAAACCGCAAACAGGTCCTCTTCTCTCACAAACAAACACACACAAACCTTTCCATGTTATCAGTCAACTTCCCCCCAGGGAGAAGGGGCCTGAATTGCCCAGATGCTGGCGGGGCCACTTCCTGGGCCTGCAGGGCCCCTCCTCCAGCCTCCTCTCCCTTCCCTAAACAGCTCCCTGCCGCCTCCTCCTGCCTGCTGTGTCTGCAGGTCAGCACTCGGTCCGACCACAGATGTGAGTTTAGACCCAACTTGGTTCTACTGCTCGGAGGCCCGAGGCCCAGACTAGCACAGTCCAACCCAACTGTGCACTCAGAGGACCAATTCCTCAGTAACCCCAGAGCAAGAAGGCGCCAGTCCAGGACAGTCTGGGTCACATGCATACGCACAGAAACCCGCACAGCGCAAAGATGCACTTTCAGCCCCAGAAAGCACTGGTGCAATCCCAGCAACCCCAGAATCGGCCGCAGCCACACAGCCAGATGCACATAAACATGCAGCCCCGAAAGATATCACAGCAAGAAAATCCCAGACTCAGCTGCACACAAAGACATGACACACAGTCACCCAGCACCCTGAGCTCACACAGCCACTGTCACACGGTGACGCCGGCCCCAGAGAGGCACGGCCACTCACACCCAGAGCCAGAACTCCAGGGGCGTGCAGTCAGGGGAAACAATCTCACAACCCACAGGGGCACCCGGAAGCCTCTCCCCCAGCATCACACAGGCACGGTTCCCAGGGGACGGGCCAGATTCACGCACAGGGAGAGGCACACACAGGCTGGCATACAGATGCATACATTCAGCCGGGCACACAGGGAAAGGGCCGAGACAAGCCACAGGGTCCTGAATCTTAGAACCAACATCTTAGGCAGTTACCCAGTCAGGAGTCCCGGTCCCACGTCCAGTATCCCGCACAGTCACCCCCGGACGAGAGACACTGTCACACACTCACGGTCACCCCCCAGACGGCGCTCAAATTCACAAGTCACCCACAGATGGGGGTCCCACACACACGAAGTCACCCCCAGATGGGGGTCACACACACCGTCTCATGCACACTTACCCCCAAACAGGGGTCACACAGTCACCCCCAGACGAGGGTCACACCTGCACACACAGTCTCACTGCACAGTCACCCCCAAACAGGGGTCACACCCGCTCACAGCCTCCCGCACAGTCACCCCAGTCCAGCTGCCAAGGCTGGGTCGTCCGGCTGCGGCCCCGCAGGCCAAGGACCCCTTGAAGCTGCCCTGGCGCAGCCCCGGGCGCCCCGCACTCGCGGCCCAGGCCTGGCGCGGCGGCTGCTCGGCCAGGCCGGGGCGCGGGCCCGGGGCTCACCTCGCTGTTGCTGGCGGAGGAGGAGGCGGCACTGGGCGTGGGCGAGCGCTGCAGGGTCACCAGGGCCATGGCTGCGGCGCGGCGCGCGGGCGCCGCCAAAACCTCGGACTAGAGCCGCAGCCGCCACCGCCGCCGCCGCCCGGGCCGGGCCCAGGGCGCTCCAGGAGCCGCTCACGGACGGCCGGGCCGAGCCGGGCCGAGCCGGGCCGGGCCCGCCCCTCCCTCCCGGCGTCTGTCGCCCCCCCCCCCCCCCC